TTGCATCTCATCCATTCTGTTTTGAAGTCCTTCCAGAGCTTGTTTTATTTCTGTATTCTCCTTCCTTAGTTCTTGCATATTTCTCTGCAAGTCCATCAGCATGGTCATGACTTTTGTTTTGAATTCTTTTTCAGGAAGACTGATTAAATCTATCTCCCCAGGTTCCTTCTCAGGGGAAGATGTAGCAGATGTCGAAGCTGTCTGGGTTAGTCTTGTCTGGATCATATTTTTTTGCCTTTTCATGTTGACAGGTGCTATTGACTGTCAGCTGGGAGGGCCAAACTTTTCACTTGCTACTGGCCTTTCTTTACTGGGACAACTGTGACCCCTAGTGGCTTGTGTTGCATAATTGCGTGTAGACTGGGTCTTTGTGTCTTGCCCGGCTGATATGGAGGAAATCTCCCTTTCTGTGAGCGTAGTCTGCCTTAGGCTGTTTGCTGTTGCCCAGGGGGTTAGTGCGCCCGGTTTTCCCTGTAATTTCCAGCCACTGGGCTGTGACCTGTGTTGTATCCATCCAGCTGTTATGTCCCTGTTCCTTTAAGACTTTCAACAAGCACTCTCTTTTCTTTGTCACAGGGGCATCAGCTCGGAACCCGCTCAGAGGTCTTGCTGCCCTATTTCCCTAGTTTCCAGCCCTCCACGCATGCACTGTGTCTGCGCTCTGGTGCCGGTGGCTGGGGCTGGGTGTTTAGCAGTTCTGGGCTCCGTCTCCCTCCCGCTGGGAGCTGGGGGGAGGTGTGCTCGGGTCCCGCCTGGCTGGAGGTTGTATCTTACCCCTTTCACCAGGCGCTGGGCTCTCGCACATGTGGATGTAGTCTGGCTGTTGTCCTGTGTCTTCTGGTCTCTCTTTTAGGATTAGTTGTATTTGCTCTATTTTCAAAAATACATATGTTTTTGGGAGGAGATTCCCACTGTCCTACTCATGCCGCCATGTTGGCTCTGCCCCCTCTATTTCTCTCTTTTTAAAAAGAAATTTATTTAGTTTTGTATGTGTGTCTCTATTGTAGGCTTTAGTTTTGTGGTTACCAAAGGTTCAAGAATAGCTTCTTTACTATATAGTAGTCTATCTTAATTGCTGATTACTCTCTTTCAAACACAATCTAAAGGTACTTTTTTTCCCCTTCCTCCTCCTCCTCCTCCACATTTTTCATATTAGATTTCTCAATCTGTACTTTTTGTATCCCTTGACTGATTTTGTGTATAGTTGATTTTGCTTCATTTGTTTTGTTTTAATTTCATGCTTGCTTGGTAATTAGTTGGTTACTACCTTTATTGTGGGTTTATTTTCACTGGTGAAAGCTATTTAGCCTTAGGATCATCTCCATCTGCAGCAATCTCTTTAACATATTGTATAAGACTGGCTTAGTGGTGGCAAAATCCTTCAACTTTTGTTTACCTGGAAGTTAACACCTGCTTCAAATTTAAATAATAATCTTGTCTGGTAGAGGGTTCTTGGTTGGAGGTCCTTCTGTGTCAGTACATGAAATATATCATTCCATTCCCTTCTGTCCTGAAGAGTTTCTGTTGAAAAGTCTGCTGATAGCCTTGTGGGATTTCCTTTATAAGTAATATTTTTCTTTCTCTCTGGCTGCTTTCAACACACTCTTCTTATCCTTGATCTTTGCCATTTTATATGTGTTGGTGGTATTTTCCTGGGGTTCTTTTCTTTAGGGGATCTCTGTGCTTCCATGACCTGAGTGTCTATTTCCTTCCCCAGATTGGGGAAGTTTTCAACAATTACTTCCTTAAAGATACTTTCTATCCCTTTGTCTTTCTCTTCTCTTTCTGGTACCCCTATTATGCAAATACTGTTTCATTTGGTCACATAGCTCTGTTATTCTTTTATTCCTAAAGATCATTTTTTCTCTCTGTTCCTCAGCTTCTTTGTTTTCCTTTTCTCTAATTTCTATTTCATTTACCATCTCTTCTGTATGATTTAATTTACTTGTAAATCCCTCCATTTTATCTTTCATTTCAGATACCATATTCTTCAGCTCTGAGTGGCTTTTTCAGCTTTTCTGTCTTTTTGTTGAAGTCCTACCTGAGATCTTGAATACTTTTCTGTAAATCCGTGAGCATGTTTATGACTTTTATTTTGAAATCTTTATCAAGAAGATTGGTGATCTCTGTTTCATTTAGCCCTCTTTCTGGGGTTCTGTCTTGTAGTTTTGTTTGGATCAAATTCCTCTGCCTGCTTATTTTGTCAGATTTTGTGTTTCTTCCTTTTTATTAGATGTCTCTACTGTGCTTTCTGGTCCTTTCCTATGTGGTCCTCCTTCCTCCTCAGGTGTAGGGGTTCTGTTCTGCAGTCGTCAGGTTGTTTTCAGGCCTGGTTGCATTTGCTGTATTTTCCTCTTTTATGTTATTTTTGGCAGGAAGTTTCCATCTTGCCTTCCTATTCTGCCATCTTTAATCCTTCACTGTTATTTTAAATAAATATAATACAGGATCCCCCAAAATGTAAA